CTTGACCAGCGAGCGCTCCTTGTCAAGATGTCGGAGAAGAAACCTTCAAGAAAGTCCATCCTGAGCTCCATCGGGTCCAAGAAGCAGCACCAGAAGCAGGAAGCTGCTGCTGCTCAGGCCGCTCAAGGCGCAGGTTCGACGGCAGCTCAGAAGAATGCGTCTTTGAACGACAGCAACGGCGATCATGGAGCGTCCAACGGAGCTTCAGATGCAGCGAGATACCGCGTGAGTCGTCAGAGCAGTCTGGCACCTGCCAATCGCAGTGGTGGTGGTGGTGTCAGCACCGGTGCGGGCAGGCGAATCAGTGCCAGCGGCAGAGCAGATGCGAGCAGCGGTGGCGGTGGTGGTCGTGGCGGCGAGGTGGCAAGTGCAAGTCCGACGACGAGCAATGCGGCATCCAGATCCAACTCTCCGCTGGCTCAGCAACGATACAGGGCGCATTCGGGCGCTTCCAGCGGCATGCTGAGCAGCGGTCGTGCCAGCGTTCGAAGCAGCGTGCGCTTTGATAATAACGACGACGACGACGACGACGACGTTGCTGCTGCCCTCGCAGGAGCATCGAGCAGCAGGAGTCGTCATGCCAGTCTAGGCGCACGCTCTGCTCTGAGCATCGGCTCTACGGGCTATGCGGCGGCTGCCATCGCAGAGGCGGAAAGGGAAGAGTCTGCAAAGTTTTATGCGGACAAGGCTAGAAAGAAGCGCACTTCTGTGCTTTGGCAGAAGGACGATGACGATGCTGGTCTGCATAGGGGAGACACTGTTCGCAGGACCACGTTCAACAAGCCTCGAGCCAGCGCCGCCGCCGCCGCCGCTGCTGCTGCTGTCAGTCCCAACGCTACCCTTGTGGGTGGCGCTACCGGCGTCAGAAGCTTCCCAGCCTTGCCTCGTTTTGGCGACAATGTCGAGAAGGGCGCTTCAAAGGGACAGCCTGCTGATCTTGGCCAGTCCCAGAAGGACATAGAAGATGCTCAACAGTCGGCTGATGCTCAAGTCGAGCAGCGCGCGCGTAGCGATGAGAAGCTTGTCGAAAAGGACGCTCATGAAGCGCCTGCAGGCAAGGCTCAGGAGGGCACTAGCGCACGCGTGCGTGCAGACTCTCGAAATGCGCAGGAGCGCCCCACCTCTCCTGCCCGAGAGTCGATCGAGCAGTCTCTGCCTGGTGGATTCAACTTCTTTGGCATGTTTGGCAAGGGAGACGACACGCCAGAACAGTCTGTACGTCTTTAGTGAAAAATTTGATCGCAGCTTCTGTTGGACAAGTCACTGCTTTGCTGCGGCTACGCTCTCATCCAATCAACCACCCCCATCGCTGACTGTCCGCTTCCCTTTCCACGCAACACAGGACGATGTGCTCAAGGGCGACAACGACAAGGCGGCACAGGACGATGAGCATGACCCCGATGTCCCGGACGACGCGGACGCGAATGCGGCTCTGCAAGAGGCAGAAGAGGATTACGGCGCTCCTCGAGGACCCAGCAAAGACGCAGCTGCTTTGATCGAAGAGGAAGAGAGGGCGAACGCTGCGGCCAAAAAGAGCTCAACACCTGCCCACAAGCGAGGATCGAAGCGCGCTGACAAGGTGGATCTGCTCACGCCTGTGCAGCGTCACTATCTCCTGAAAGCGCTCGTGTCCACAGAAATGCAGCTGGAATGGAGCGAGCTGGAGAAGCTGGGTGCTCTTACCCAGTACGGCTACCCATTCTCTCCCACGCGACCCAAGCTCAAGCGCGTGCAAAAGGATCTGGACATGGACAGCGAGTTTGCCAAGGGCGAGTTCGCCGCCGCAGCCGACGATCCCTATGCCGATGAAGATCAGGCGCGCCGAGCAGAGAATATTGCCGAGCCTCTGATGCTCCGGCACATGTTCCAGGTCTTTTTGAAGCCTTTTCCCGGTCTCAAGGAGGCGCCGCTCAAGTACTGGCAGAAGCGCATTCAGCCCTACTTTGACGAGACTGCTGCGCGCAACTTTTCCCACTCGACCGAGAGAGCCGAGCTGACCAGTCGACACTTCTACACGCTCGCATTCACCCGCTATCTCGGAGGTTTCATGGCGCGAGGATTTGGTGTGCGCGGCGAAGGGGAGACAAAGGGTCCTGGAAAGGGAGAATCCGGAAGCGAAAGATGGGGCGTCGGCAAGCAATGGGGCAAGGGCACCGTCAAGCGGGGTCTGGACAAGCCTATTCGCATCGACGATGCCCTGATGGACAAGATCGACAGCCTCTTTTCAGGCCCCGAGGGTGATGTGTGGCGTCGAGCTCGCAAGGAGACTCATCGCGTGCGCCGAGACTGGCAAGCTTTCAAGGAGCACACGATCGAGAGCGAAGCCGGTCTCGAGGAGACGATGGCGTACTTGCAGGTCAGCAACATTAGAAATCTTCCTCCCAGATAGTGAGTTGGTGGCGCGCATGTCTCGAAAGCGTGCGTGAGCACTGATGAGATCCCCCCTGTTGTACACGCCCGCCAGCCGCAATGCAGAAGAATGGGCTCGCATGCATGCTGCCTACCTCTTCCACAACCTGTTCGTGACGTCGCCTGCGGCCGACTCGATCTTTGGTGTGGTGAAGGGCATCCACGCTCTTTTCCCGTACTGGGGTGCCAGACAGCTCCTAAAGGTCGCAAACGCCGAATCGATGATTTCCGGTATCCTTGGCTTGCTCTTGGCTCGACCAGCGGGTGCAAAGTCGCTCGTCCAACGCGTCTTTACATACGTGCTGGGCAAAGAAGCGACGGCCTTTCAGAAGGACTACATTGTGCCCTTTAGAAAGGAGATCAACGATACCGAGCTGACAAAGAAGATTGAAGAGTACGTCAAGCGTGCAAGCAGACCGGAAGGTCGTGCGATTAGGTCTCGCGCAGAGAGGACCGGCGCAGATGTCCTCACGACGATCCTGCTGCACTCGAGCGGTACGCAATTGAGCTCGCAGAAGCAATCGTATGTCCAGCAACTGGAAAAGTCGTACGCCAAATCGCCTTATGCGGCGGATGTCAACCTGGCGTACCCTGCCAAAACCCCGGCAGGCAAAGCCTTGGAAGGTCGCACAGCTGGAAATTGGGGCGTCTCGTCTCAAGAGGCTGACGAGGCTCGCACGTTTGGCCTGCTCAAGCTGCACTTGCGTGTTTGCCTAAAGAAGCGTGATCGCGAGCAAGCCATTCTATTTGCCAGCGGCTCGCTAATCCCCACCATTATCAAGGACTCGCTCCAGCAAGTCTTCTTCCCAGCCATTCGTTCGATTGCATCTGCGGTTGATCTGTCCGAGCGTCTGCACGATCTTCAAAACTTTATCGACGACCTCATCAAGATCAAGAAGAAGGGCGACGATCAGCTGGTCGCTTTCATCGCATTGGCGGCGCGTCACGAGCAGAGTTTGTACCTGCTCTTCTCTCAGATGCACACCATCATCGATCCCTTCGCAGCCTGGCTGCAGACGGGAGCAGACTACATGGCCATGTCCACCACGGATCCGCTCAACCCTGCCAACAGAAAGGCAAAGAATCTCGAAGTGAACTTGGAAGAGCTTCTGCGCGATGACCGTCTGACGCAAGAGGATGCTGCCAATATTGTCAAGGAGGTGGACGAGCTGGCTCAGTTTGTCAAGTGGCAAAAAGTATGGTACGAGTTGGAGATGCGCAAGAACTTTATCCTCGCGCGACCTGAAGCAGCTCCGGCGAGCGGGCTGAATGCGGATGACATTCCGAAAGGCTCGATGCGTCAGGAGATAGAGGATGTCGACGCGCTCCTCAAGGAGCTGATGAAGGCGGAAGGCGTGCCCATCGAGCAAGGCGATGTCCGCACTCTTGCGCGTGGTACCGAAAAGGCAGACTTTCCCTGGGCATGGTTCGACAAGCTGGATCCTCTGGGTCAACATATCGTCTCTTCGTCTAGCGAAGTGGAGCCAGACTTGTCCTTTAAGCCGCGCGGCACAACGGCTCCCATTCCGGAAATGCTCACACTCAGAAAGCTCATGCCCGCTTTCCAAGATTTGCTTCGCGAAACGCTGCCTAGATGGCAAGATGGTGATGAACGAGGGCCACCCAGGGACGCGGGCCTCGCCCCTCCACGCGCCGGCACCACGGGAGCTTCGACGCCGGCAAACACTGCTCCTCCTTCCGTCGCCGGTGACGGTAAATCCACGACAAAGAGCAAAGGTGGCTTTGGCAGCATGTTCCGCAAGAAGTGATGCGAAGGAGCGGGCCATTTGCATCCCCTTGTTCTCGCCCCACCTGCTTTGGAACATACCACGCGACACTTTTTTTCTTTCCCCTGCTTTTTCTTTTACTCTTGCTCCCTTTCGCAGCGGCTCTTTTTTTTT